CGACGAGTTCAAAAGAAAAAGAAAGCGACGAATTATTGTATACGGTTCGGTCACTCGTTATGGTCCGCGAACCAGTTGCCACCGCAAGGGGTTGAATGTTCCGTTTAAAATCTTTTTTGAAGAAATATCTAGCGAGTATTAATTTATTAATAGTATTCATTCATTTATGGATTTCTTTATTTTTGAGTTTTACGATACGATTGAGAATAACTGTATTCCAATTCCTTTTTTTTTTTTTTAGCGTCATTTCAAAGACCGTATACGTATTTGTAACGTAAAAGAAGCAGATCCAGAATGATCGTAATGCTCGAATGGAACACGGTTGCGAAAGAACCGCGAAGCAAGACATGCGTACGCAGCCGAGCGGAGTCAGGTGCAAGTGGAAAAGGGGAATAGACTAGATTCAGAGGGGGTTCGCGGGCAAAGAAGAAGGGGATGAACGGGTGGGCGTGTGTACGAACCATTTTCGGAAGGTGAATCGATTTCTCGATGAAAATAAGCGACCGCGAAGATCATCGGATGATTATCTGATACACGGCATTCCCTCGTCGAGGCTATTGCGCGAGCTTTCGTAACGACCCCTGATGTACACCCGCTTAACCCATCTACCTTCGACCCCTTACCGTTTGGAACAGCGTTGAGAACGCGCGCATCAACGCAACGCCGCCGAAGCAGCATCCGTGAGTACGCGCACTGCGGACAGCGGATACTCTTTCTTATGTTTTCTGACTGAAACGTACATCCGCAGGGGCAGGGAATAACGTATCTAAGAGATACCTGCCGTGTGTATAGATATCGTCCGACGATACGGTCGAATTCGACTGGTACGGTTGTCGGTTCCCGTTGGTCACTCGATACGTTGCATTTGCTGTTTATCACTGAGAATACGTGCCAACTATCCCTATAAATCGTTCACGTTCGCACGAACGTGCGTACGTGTCGTCGCGCACGGAAAAATCCGTACCGCGTTACACCTGTTTGGCGTGGAAAACGAAAACGCAGCGACGAACGACAAAAATGATTGATGACGTTTGAAAATGGCTCTACCGCAAACGGAAGAGAATTGCAAGAACTTACCCTTGTCAAAGGTTTCTTTGGCCGCGTGTATGACCTTCCTCCGTCTAAGACCGTCGCCCGCGAGGACGGTCGTCATCGTGCTGGAAGCGGTGCCCGTCGTCCTCTCATCTTCGTCACTGTTCGCGCACTCGCCGGAGGTGGTCGATGTACGGTGGTCGAGGAGATTGATCGGGGACCCCTCGCCGCCTGGCATAGTGTCCCGATTAGCAGGACCGTCGCGTCCTTAACCGAGGACCCTTGCGCCTGAACTGAACTCGCTCCCTCTATGCACCCACTGTTCGCGAATCTCTCTTTGCCCTTCGTAGCCGCTGCAGCGTTTCGTGGCGCTGACCGCGTAGCGGCGCCACCCGCGCGACCCACTGCCAGAGGACGGTTTTCTGAAATAATTTGCAATTCTTTCCCGGCAAACAATAACGGAGCGTCGCGAAGTTCCCTTGACCGTTGCCTCGAGCAAGTGTGAGATATACACAGGTGGTTCGTCGAGGACGATGACTGGATTAAAGTGGACTCGCAACGATGACAGTAACTCGTGTATTGAACTCGCGTGTAAGTAGAATATATTTCAAATAATCTTGACAGTAGAGACGATCAAAATCACGTGACGCTTAGGTTTACCCTCTTGCGCTGGAATGACGTGTCACTCACGTTGAGAATTTTTGTTGTCCCAAACTGCAATATTTTCTCAGTTTTAAGTATATTTAAGTATAATTTTAAGTATAATGAATTTATTACTTCTCAATAATTTCTATTCATTGATTATACCGGCGAGTTTGAAAAGAAAGCGACGAATTGTTGTGTATGGTTTGGTCACTCGTTATGGTCCGCAATCAGTTGCCAGCGCAAGTGGTTAAGTAAATGGCTCGTTGGTTAGTTGGCTAAAATCGATGATCGTTTCAGCTGAGGATCTATTAATCGATCGTTTGAATTATTAATAGATCATTGAACGAATATTATATTATATTTAAATATTAAAAGAAATACTGATTTATTGGCAAATCCCATGAATTATTTTGAAAATGTATCAATCAAAATATCGATGATCTACTTAATTATATCCTCAATGAAGATCTTTACTTGCTCGTATTAAAAAGAACAATTAGAATTATTTCTTTTTATGGAAAATTCGGAATTATATTTTGGACTTCGCGAACAAGTTTTTGACCGCGTTAAAGGTAACAGTATCGATGTTACATTAAAGTGTACAACATTGATAAATAATTAGCGCTTCGATGTTTCAACGATTAAACTTGATTAAATGATAAGCATTGAGAAAGAGATCTTCGTATTCACCCTTAATTCGTGAAACATAAAGTTCAAGCGAAAGTTTACCCGCGCGAAACTTGCGGTGGTACCACTCTCCCCGCCGATGTTGATGCTCTGCGAGACTCTGTGACTCATTCTCGTTCTTTCCCTGAAATAGGGAAATATTTCCGCGTAGCCCCGCCATCTGTAGCAAACTTCAGACGCGACTGGCGATCGATCCATGTGCAACGCCATTTCTCGCTCGACTATTCAACACGATTCGTGCCACTTTTTCCTTTTTCTCCCTTTTTTCCCTTTTTTTTCCCCCTTCATTTTCCTTGTCGTTTTCCACGCCATGTGACACCACCAGAAACGTCAAGCACACGTACCATATGAAAATTAGGTTAAGGATTTGGCAGGCATTCAGGCTTGCTACGAAATTTCTCTTTCGTACATGCATTGAATATTCGTCCTTCAAACTTATAAATTCCTCTAAAAATCTTGTAATTGTACGAAAAAGGGAAAGAGCAAAATATAGATTGGAAGATATGACCGATCATCCTTTCTGCTAGTCTGATTCACTGATTTTCGATAACGATGCGTATGTTTTAATTAGAACATTAATTTCTTAAATTTCGATTCAAAAAAAAAAAAAAAAAAAGGATTTTTGTCACATAGTTACATACAGATGTTACTTTTTACTCAGTATACTGCATGTAATTAACTTTTTAACGCAGGATTTGCGATATACGTATCAGGAAAATCCAAGAATAAACATCATTTTCCGTAAATGTCTAAATTAGTTATGGCTTTTAAACTAATCGAATTGAAATGAAGAGATTACGTGTCGATAATTTTTTTAAATAATTCTTCCCCGCGTTTAAGAAATTTCTCAGCAGTAGAAAAACATGGTTGAATTCGCCTAGAAATTCGAACAGCAGTGGAGGGCGCAGTGAAATTAAATCAATATCGAGCGTCGATTGATCGCGTAATGGCACAACCAGCAACTTGGGAACCAGAAATCGAATATCCGACTCGTGTTTTGACTATTCGCGGTACCAGTTAAAAGCGTCGAATTATAGCGACGAGGCGGCGAGGGAAAATTGACTTTCTCGACGATGTCAAGGGCACCCTATTCGTTACCCTGTTTCGAAGCGTCGACGAGTTGATTACTCCCTATTTCCGGTATTGAAATGGCCATCAGAAGTGACAGCGGTATTGTTTCCGCGGTGCAGATATCAGCAGGAATCGATAGGAATGGCCCTTCGTTTCGAACGCAGACGGGGCAGGAAAAGCGTAACTATTGGAAAATGATCGTAATGCGACTTCCGGTACGCTTTGATCATTTTCTCTCCAGCGTTGAAAGCGTGGCGGCTTTCGAGAGAGAGAGAGAGAGAGAGAGAGAGACTTCGTTTATCGCATCGATAAACAACCCCGAGAATCTCGAAATAGAATTCTAAAGATGATTGAATAAATGCCATGGACGAGTCGAATTAATTCGACGGCCGATCATATTGACAATTATACGTGCCTATGTACGTGGAATTTCCTTTATGAAAAATCTAGACTCTACCAAGCTCGTTGACGCAATGAATTCCAGATTTTCGTTCCTAAATTACCGAAGCTTAACTTTAAAATTGATAGTTAATGTTAATACGTTCACTCCGCCACGTGAAACTTGCACGTTTCAACAATGTAATTCTTAATTAAGATATTGCTACACTGCAATGAAGTACGACGAAAGCGTATTCTTTATGATTTATATTACCTAGTTATGTTACGTTACGTTTTATGATTTATATTATCTAGTTATTTACGTTGTTTAAAATCCATCGTTAATTTATCTCATTTTAATTATGGTCATCAGTGACCATAATAGCAGTTAACGTGTTAACTCTGTGACCTTAATAAAGCTTAAATGGTTAAATATTTAAGTATTAAAAACTATAATTCATCACATACCAAATGGCAGACAGTAGAAAGTTGAAAATTTTCATTCCTAGCATTTGTAAACATTATCCTATCATTTCTGTATATATTTGCATATGTATCTTTTTCTTTAAGTAATCAAACTATTGAAATAATTGGATTGTACGATAAGGATTAAACCTGCGACCTATTCGATTGTCATTAGAGATTTCATGGAAAAACAATGGAAGGTTAATTAGAAGAGATGCAGGCTGACGAACTCCATTGAACTTCGGTTCTGGGAGTTTTCTGGCTCAATTTAACGCGAAAGGGGTAAGAACAGTTTGGAGAAGTTATCCGTCTTTCCGTTTGAAAGGAGACCGTGCCCACTTTTCTTCAAGTCGCGGGACTACAATAAGAGAATCGTTTCCATTCTTCGCGTTTATTCTCTGACAAATGATTTAATCTCTTTTCGGTAGCAACCGATTCTGCTCTTCATTCTTGTATCTTCGAATTCGGGTCAAATTTTTGACTCTATGTGTGCACTGAGCATATATTCCATAATTAATGAATGTTTAAATTAAATTTTCAGTCTACTTGTCCATATTCTTTCGTTTATATTTTAGAGAGAAAATTTTCACTGTATTATTTTCTATCTAAAATTTTCACTGTATTATTTTCTATCTAAAAATGAAAAAAGATAGAGGACATTTCTTTCATTGAAAGAATTGTCAATTTAATGAAATGCATCTGAAAGTAATTTCTTAATAAAGGAATTTTCTCAATGAAGCTGTTAATTATAAACTCCTTTCTCTCAATTCTGGACATCAACGTCAACAAATGAGACAAGTTAAGCGCGAAAAATTCATAAATTCATAGAGAGGATTCGTACAACACTCTGCGTTCTCAATCTCGAAATAGACTTCTTTACATATGCACAACAATTTCAGATAAACTGATCTACAGAATAAAGGCTACTTTTAATCAGATCTCGAAGTTGCAACATAAGCAAAAAGCAGGTTAACGAGTTCGGCTTGATTTCAGTATGAGAAGTCAAGGGAAACTTGGGGTTGCGTGCGAACGAAATTGCTTTCTTTACTTTCTCGTACGTTTTTATTAAAATACGTAAACGCTTAACTTACACGTATACCAACAGCAGGCGATAGGCAGATTTAAGATAAATAGACCTAGTTCTTTTACGTCTTTTTCCCTTTCCGTTTCTTTAGATGACGGGCGTTGATCAAACGCTAGCAGGGCCTTCGTTTCCGGCTTTGAACCGAGACTAAGAACATCAGAGATTCCTCTGGCATCCTTTTCGTAAATAAGTATCACGACACGCGATCGATTCGTCGTCGTCTTGATTTTTCTTACCGAACTGGTTTGCCCTGACTAGGCTAACGTTCTGCAGTTCTTTGTCCCTCTTAAATCTCTTAAATCTACCATTTTCATATATCTTCATTTACACACGTCTTCTTTACATTATACGTTCGATTAGTCTTAATTCATTGTAAGATAGAAGATATAATTTATTCAATAATTAACATTGTAATTCTATAATTAGAAATAAAAAGGAGAAATTTTGTGTATTTCTATTCACAACAAGATTTTTACGTATCATCAATCGTTCTCGATGAGTGGAAAATATTTAATTACCATCGTTATTTGATTTTTGGTAGACAAAGGAAACGTTTTCGTCCACAAGAGACTATCATCGTTTCCCTACTTTATCCTCAACGAGTTGAACTTAACTCCACGTTCACGTTCCACGAAGAAAAGAATTACTAAGAGAGTACCGCTTTTACAGAATGTTCCAATTAAATAAATAAAACGGCACGAAGATCGCGATCAACGAGGCCCTCTCTATATACACACACATAAAAAACGATCCGTTCCCTCGAAGAGAACAATGCTATTTCTTCTCTTATATTTTTATCGATTATCAATCCCTCTTCCTCTTCATCTCAACCGATCGTCTCGACTGGGCCTCGTCATCACGCATCGGCCCCTGTAGCAAATCTCCGTCATATGCGAGACCTTCGTGGTCGTGGAAGTCCGCAGAACCTTCCCTAATATCGATTCGGTCGAATTGGTTAGCAAAGCGGTGCTACTGGGTTTCGGAGTCGTCGTCAGAAGAGGATCGGTCGCAGAATAATCCTCGGATGACGGATTCGTCGTTGCGTGTGGAGTTGTCTTGATTCTTTCCAACGTTGTTACGTTCTTCAGAGGGACGTCAGTCGTAGACTCGGTGTCCGACGTAGCTTCCTTGCCATTTTCATAAAGGTTTGTAGTCGTTTCTGACTCCTCGAAGCTCACCCAAGTAGTCGTTTCAACTTCATCATCGTTTAATTTAAACGCTCCTCCATCGATCGCTGATTTTTCTTCTCTTGACCTGTTGACACGATCTGGAATCTCTGTGTTGAACACAGGAAGCACAGTGGTGGCGATTTCATCTGGATTTTCCGTGTTAGCCACTGTTGTTTCCTCTTCGGCGCTCTTCATCGTGTCGAAGATCGCTTGGACGTAGTCCGACAGCGTCTTTACACTGTTGTCACCTTCGTTTCTCGTTACGAACCCTGGAATTGATGTCGTGGCAGATCTGCCACTCGTTTTCGGATCGTAATTCCAGCTGGAGGGTTTAGAATGATCGAAGGCAAACGGGTATCTCACCTCGCTCCATTTGGCTCTGTGGTTCTTCGGATGATTGGAATTCTCGTCCATCGATTCTTTATTACGTTCTTCGAACTCTGACGCGCTCTCTTTATCTATCTCACTGCCATCTTCCGCCACATCGTTCTTTCCTTCTGATTCCTTCTGATCGATGCCCCTAGGTGCTTCTGAATCATTTAATTCTCCGTTCGACTTGCTCGCGTCGTTGCCGCTTGTTTTATATTTATCAGTTATCGAGCCAAAATTGATTGTTGTCTTCTGGCTCCGTTTCTTCGTTGACTCCCAAGTTTCCTTTTCCACGCTCGCTGGTTTCTTCTCGTTCCTCTCTTTTTTCTCCTGCTCGTTCGCCCTCGTATCATCGCGTGGCTTTAATTTGGTAAATAAATCTTCGGGAGACACGGTGATTGTTGTCTCTTCGATGCTGTAAGTATATGGAATCGTGGTAATCTGTATCTCTGTAGTTTCATCGATGTCCCCGGGAATCACCATAGGAGTAGTCGCAGCTGGTGACATTGTCCACGCGACTTCCGGCACCTCGGTGGTCGTGATCTTCGTAGATTCGCCGCTCTTTAGAATATCCGACAGAAAGTCTTGCAGAATTGATTTCCCAGGTGAAGTTGAGCCTACTGCGGACGGTTTCGACTCGCGAACGGGATTGTACTTATATTGACCTCGAAATAAACCGTTCAGGGCTGAATTCAAGTGTTGGGACTCGGCGGTGACGAAATCGTCGACCGCTGGTCTGACTCGAACGCGGACTCTTCTCCTTCGTGTGGTCTAAAACAGATGATTATTATTATTGTCTTGTTCTTTCACTATAACATTACCAAGCAAAAATAGTTATAATATACGTAACATTTTTATTAATATACATTATTATTATTTATATATATCAATATTTCGTGTAGTATCGTTATACTATTAATTAATACTTTCAACTATACTTTCAATTCATTTTTAATTCTACGCTTTTTATTATTGCTGTCACTTTTATTGTTATATTTTTTTGCATTTCCTTGGACGAAAATCTCAGTTACAGTTTTATGTTGTCGTATTAGTTTCTCCCATTTTAATTGTAATGATTGTTGGTCATTTCAATTTTTCATAGAACTGTCTCATATCATCGCAAAAATAATGCTGCACACTGTTTCGTTTGGTAAAAGACCGTCTTCACCAGCAGTTCCTTATATATTGATATTAATATCCTCTTTCTCTCCCCGTAACGACCTATCAGCCTCTCATACTAATATTAAACTTTCCTTCACCGTACCTTTACATAATCTCCAATAACCTACCATACTCACACGCTGTCTTTAGAGAAGAAATATCACATTGCTTTCTCCAAAAAGAGCAAGAAAATTTTAACATCACAATTATGATTATACAGTTTCTTTTTATCTTCTTTGTTACAAAGCTTTTAAGTTTCGGGAAATTTAAATGAAAATTTATAAAGAATCACTCGGCAATAATCTGGTTTGCAACATAGTTAAAAAATGAATATGAATGTCCATTGTCTTTCACAGTTTATAAATTGATTCCTTTTGAGATTAAATTTTAGTATTTATTGTACTATTCGATACGTTTTCATTTTAATATTTAGCACGTTTCATTAAATATAATTATTACTCCTTGTCAAACTTCATTCATCAAACTTATCTGCAACTGTATAACATTGATTAATAACTGATTATTCCAGTAATATTTCCCCTAAAGTATCTGATGTACGTATATGTTGACTCATTCTTATACATATAAGTATACCATCAGTCTTTCATCAAACTTTTTTAAACTTCTCAAGAATCTCATTCAAGGCTATTAATAGTTATCAAACAACTCCAAAAGTCTTACCCTCTTTCCAACTGGACTGGTGGAATTATCGTTTTTCTTCACAATCTTCTCCAAATCAATATTCTGTTGTTCAGTAGAATCCTTCACTTTATCTTCCAACCAAGGATCTCCATTCTGACCAACATCAGCCTCACTATTACTTTTCTCTTTGGCCTCCGGTGCCGTGGTACTTGTTTCACTTGTATTCAACTTCTCAGTGTGATCCTGTACGACAGTTTTCCTACCAAATATCGTGGTGCCCATTAACATCGTTTCATTCTCTTCCCTCTGCGTGTTCCTATCGTCTGAAGACACTACCAGCGTTACAGACGAAACCTCCGGCGCTGCTGTGATTATTTCTGGCGGGTTGGCGTTTTTTAAAGATTCATGGAACCGCTGATTGCTCTTGGGAGCCTCCTCCGGGACTTGATTTACTGCGAAACTCGGCTGGAACGAAGTTCTCGTCAGTTTCGTGGACCATTGACTTTCAGACCCGTAGATGTCCGCCGTCGTCTGGCGGTCATCTTCCGAAGGCCTCGTTCTTGAAGCCTGGCTGTACTTCTTCGCCGAACTGCTGGCTAGTTGAGTCTGATCGTATTCCTCGCGTTGAACTGGCTGCGCCGGATAGTTACCAAAGTTTAGGATGAACTCGGGTGGATACTGGAAATTCAGAGAAGTTTTGATTGGGTGGCGGTTTGGATAGGCAGTATTGTTGGAAATGGGAATTACGTATATTCATAAATATTCATAAATATTTTCATATTTCGTATTTAAGTGGGGCCAAATTGAGCAGCTTTTTGTACTCGAACAGACGAACTGCTATGAAATTTTAATTATTAATATCACCAACAGAGATTTCCAGTTAGAGTGTGAAAATCTGACACACCGTATTCAACTTTTCACTCAATTTTAAAATATTATTTTATTGAAACATTCTCTATTAAACTGATGATTTAATTAGAAGTGTACTACATTATACAGTATAATGTAGTATGGTATTTATGTATTAACTCAAACCATACAAAGTACTGAAATCAATACTATAATTACTGTCAACTATGACATTATAGTATGATAACATATTAAAAATAATTATTATTTGTGTAATTGGTAGTATGTATCAAAATATACTAATATACTATGCTATAATATATTACACTATTTTTATCATATATACAAGATATTATTATCAATAGCATAAGATGTAATATATAATAGTACAGTATTAAAGTATAAGTATTAAATAATATACTTTCTACGTTCTTATGTATCCTTCCAAAATTCCAAAATAAGTAACAAAATCGGCAAACAAAGTTTCCATATCGTGAATTACAACGAGCCAATTATTTCTCCTTTATCGCGACCCACAAACGAGCCAGTGCATGGCTGAATTGGCAAAAGAAGCTGGAATCATCGAGCTGGTGTAGAAACAGGCCAGAAACAAGAGATTACTGTACACCGTGTGCCACTGTACGCCAACAGAAGCTCTGCTCGAATTTCTAATCATCCCTAGCGTTAAGACCCCCACTAATCCATCCAACTAATCGCCGGAAGCACCGTTATATATAATATATAGCACACAATACATAGAACTGATATAGCATGTCAAAAACACAGTAATTTGAGTTTTGGGAGAACATGAGGACCTCGAGTCTTGTTCAAGATGGCCTCGTTCAAGATGTCAACATTGGAAACGAGACAATAGAAATTTAATATTGTACAGATTTTACTATTAGAAGCTATATCCAAAGTTGCTGTTGAAAATTTGTTGTGCTATAATCTTTCTGTCGTGAGATCTGAGCACAGAATCCCTCGTTTTGGATCTCCCAGATTTTTGTGCATTTTAACTTGTTACGTTACGTGTCCAGAAAGATTATTACACAACTGTTGATTTTCTATGGCAGTTGTCTCTGTTTTTATACATTTGTACATTTCATACGATGTGAAAATACCAATGTAAAAAACAAATTCACGTTACAGCCCATCCGATTCCGTCGGATTTACGACGTCCGGTTAGCCTGAGTGTACTCACGTTCTCGCTAGAGGCATCGTAGAATTGATGTTCGGATGTTGGATTACGTGCTCCATCGAGGAATCCCCCGGCGTTATCGTAATTGTCGTCGTACGGACTCTGTTGTTGCTCTGCGGTCACGGATTGTGGCCGTATAAGCGGATAATTTTCGTCCAATGGTAGCTCGTTATGCGCCTCCAGCACGGACTCGGTCGTACTGGTGGTAGTTACGCGTTTTCTACCGGGTCGTCGTATTCTACCCCTTATTCTAGTTTGTTTCGTCTCGTCTGGTCTAGACTTTGGCCTGCCAGTGTACGTCATGTCCTCTGGCAGCACCGTGGCAACAGGTATTCTTTCGGTAGTCGTGACGATTTCCGGCGTGGTTGTAAGCGGTGGTAAAGTGGTAGGTTTCAGTGGTAAGCGACGATTGGGCGCCGGCTGATACTTCTGACGGTTCTTCGGCAGGTGTGCCTGCGGAGGATTCGATTCCACTGCGGTCTCGTCGTTTGCTAGCAGAGACTGCTGCGGCACCTAAACACGGCCAATTTCATTTTTCAAGAAATCCTCACCATTGTGTTCCATTCTTTTCAATTCTTTGCAATCATAAAATATGATTTCTATGTAAATCAACATCCCTCAATTAATCATAAGACTTTGTGTGAAAAATTAAACGTTTGTTGTTCGAGATCCTCAAGCTGCTATTTATACTGTAGAAACTTTACTTTGTTACAGTACCCTGTCATAGTATAAACTTTAAATTCCTCGTCAGGAAATGTTTAGAATAATTCCATACAAATCTAATAAACAAAATAATTCGTACAAATTTCTTATAAGGAGAAATTTAAATGAATGAGTTTCCTGTTTGTCAGAGAATTTCAATGTCCATAAATTTCTTCAGTCACTTGCCTCCGAAAGCTGGGGCCGGTACGTAACAGGTGTCTGGAATCTGTTATCCACCGGATGTGCTGGTCGGAAGTTCGGCGGCCTTATAAATCCGTAATCAATGTCCTCCTCCGTCGGACGCACGGTAGTGGTCGTTGTAGATGGTGCGGGTGGTTTCGTGGCAGCGACGATTTGCCTTTGCTGCTGTACCGCGTGAATCTTGATATATTCGTTGCCATCAGTCTGGACTTGAGATCCGTGCGAGAGATTCTGGGTGCGAGGCCTGGTTCTGGCTCTCTGTCTGCTCGGCACGATTCGAGTGGAATCTTGATTCACCACGTTGAAACGAACGTACTCGTCCTGCGAACCTTTGTTCCGAGTCTGAACCGAGGGTTCATGGTGCAAGCGGGTACCAACGCGTCCTCGAACGCGTTGCCGAATCACCACGGGCGTTGTGCTTGTTGTAATTGCTTCTGTTGTTATCTGAAATTGGAATTGAGAACTGGTTTTACAAGTTTCTTCATTACTGAAACAACCATTATTTAATTTAGAAGATCTTAAAACAGGACAATAGAAAGAGAGATGTAGATTTGCAAATTCACTGATCATAAAAGTTTTTATTTGCTCAAAGTGAAAGGGAAAATCAAGGAAAAAATCGTTCGATCGACGAATTTGCAAATGTACAAGCGTCAAAAGTTGTATTCTTGTTGCATTGGCTTTTTGCCAGTGTGTGTCAATTTGATAATAAAGATTTAATGAGGCTAATCTTGGCCTTCATCAGACAGTGAATGTGAATTCCCTTACATCTGACAACGGAATCTCGGTGGGTGAAACAGGCAGCTCATAATCTTCCTGCTTATTCTCCGGTAACGGGATAAATATTGGCCGCTCGTTGGGATTATCCTCGTCGACACCAGCCTGAATCTTATCGCTCTCCACGCGATGCAGATTATCCTGCCCGGTCAGGCTGTACTCCGGCTGATTTTGTGGGACGTTCACCTCGTAAATTTGTGAATAACGTTGCTCTTCCGGCGTTCTCAGCCTCGGATCGACAGTTGTGGCCAATTCGAAGTCGCTGTTCTCTGCTTTCCCGTCTAACTGGTAGCTCTTCGGCCTCTGAACGACCTCTTGATCCAGCGACTCGCCACTCTGAGCTTGATAATTAAATCCATTCACTGGATTCTTTTCAATGTCAGTCCGTTCCAACGTGGATTCGTCGTAGCCAGGCCGGTAACGCGGATCCTGAACGTTCTGCGGATAGTTCTGACTTCTCGAGTAATCGTCAGAAATCAACGCGGTAGCGTGATTCACAGTGACATCGTGAAACGACGGGTAGTTCTCCGTGGCGCTAACGGTGGTGGGCGGATAATTCTCAGGAGCGTGGTCGTTCAAACTTGACGACGAATCCAACTGATGAAGAACACTCGAGCCTGAGTCGGTGATAGGGGAGTTCGAATCGCTGATAGAGGGTCCAGCGTCGTATCCAGGCTGCTGTGCCTGTAGGTTTTGAGCATGTCCTACGACCTGTTTGCATTCGAGCGGAATTTTCAGTTAATACACATTGTCGAGAGTGAAAATGTTTATGATCAATTATTTGCAATGAAACACTGTACGAAACATTATTGTTGGCATTAACGCCAATGACAATCAGTTGGTGTAATTTCGGGCATAGCTTATACTTGAACGCCTTGCGCTGGTAACTGGTTCACGGACCATAACGAGTGACCAAAACCGTATACAATAATTCGTCTTCTTTTCGAGTTCATCGGTATATCACCGGATAGAAATTACTAATGAGTAATAAAATTTATTATTTGTTTTGCCTGCGTTATATTTCAATGTCGTTCCAGCGCAAGAGGTTAATAATTAATAGTTCGTGAGAAAATTCGAAGTAACCTCGAAGCTTTGAAAAGTTGAAAAGCTAAAAGCTAATATATATACACGATACTACGTCAATAATTAAACATTCAGTATCAGATCATATTGCTATCAGTCGTCGTAATGTTTAATTTAAAAAAAATCTTCTTCGTTGAAATTCATATTTAATTTATGCTTGTGTAGTTCCTTCTTATACATAGTTAATAGTATTCTTGTTTCTAAAAGTCTTTTAATAACGTAAGTTCACGCTTTACCTCGGACTGTTGACTGGTTTTATCCCGATTTCTGTACTTGTTCGTTCTGCTGGTCGGCCGTCTGTGCTCGGAATTATACCTCAACGTAGTTTCCGGAATTTTGGATTTAGTTGGCTCGTAAGCAGATTCGCGATACTCCTCTGTAGTGGTCGTGAACCTCGATCTGGATCTGTTGTACGGCCTTCGATTTTTGTCCACGTTCGATTTAGTCGACGGCGCTTCGGTTGTTGTCCTTGGCCTCGTGGGTACCAGTCTGCTTCTAAAATTACCAAAATTATCATGCTCAAGAAGACTCTTCACCACGTATTATTTTCTCAATTAAATTCTTCCAATTAGACCTTTCTCAGCCAAGCCATTTTTAATTACAGTAAGATTTCCTATAACCGGAGATTTTCAATTTGATTTCGACAAACGTCTTGCACTCACGGGCTGATTAGAATTTAAAATCCAAATGTATCCAAGTCTAAATAGAAGATAGAAGTGAAAAGCGAGTAGCACCTTTGTCTACTTCGTGGCCTGTACGTTGTCGTAGGAGTACGCTGTGTCGTAGTAGTGGTTGTGGTAGTAGTAGTTGTGCTGGTAGTTGTCGTCGCAGCAGGGTGGAGTTTCACCTCATTCTTATCCAATAGAGAATTCACCAGACCGGGAAGGTGCGGAGATATCGCTGGTAGTTCAGCCGGCAAGCTATATTGCGTGGGTCCAACGGGAGCTCTAACGTCGTTAACGTCGCCAGCAGTGATTTCACCGTCGAAACTACCGACGAGACCGGCGGAAGCCTGGGGATTCTGTTGACTATATTGCCCTCCGTTGTTGTAGCGTTGCTTCACCCTCTGCTGAGCCAACTGTTGATTAATTAACGCCAGCTGACCCGACTCCTCCTGCTGGCCGATTGTTTCTTCTCTGAAGCTAGGCGTCGTGGAATACGAAATATCTTCAGCTCGGCTCACTGAAGTTTCCACTTTTGGACTTTGTACAGGTGCCTCGGTCGTCCGCGATGAACTTTCGTCGTAGTACTTCTGCTTTCTCGTGGTGGACCTCTGATCGTCGTAATAGGAAGTAACGACAGAGGCTGGCTTACCGTCGCCGTAAAACTGCCTGAACCTGAACCTGGAGCCAGAGTATCCGGCAGACGACGTTGGTGCATACGTTTGCTCGTATCTGGGCGTGCTTGACGACTCTGGAGAGTAGTTGATAGTTGTTTGAGGCTCGTACGAAGGGGTGGTAGATTCAGATACGCTGTCCAAACCGTCCAGATAAGAGTTAGGTTCTATCAAAGGTGTTGGGCTAGGGTTGTGGTCGTCGCTTCCTTTCGGATCAGCGTTGTCCAATGTGTTCACTACCACCGATCCTATGTGCGGCGCTGGGAAAGGTATCTTGGAATATCCTGGAGGTGGATCGAAGCTAAGTGGCGCGACGAAAAATGGCAGTTTGTCGACCTTCCTCTCCACGCGATTGTGATCGATGGACGACAAATACGGGAGATCGAACTTGGCGTAACCCGTCGGCGGGTCTAAACTGGTCGGACCCACGAACACTTGCGGAGTGTCCGGCCCGACTGTGTCCAGAACAGCTATGGTTTTAGCGTCCTTTAGTATCCTTAAGACGTCAGCTACTTTAACGTTAGATGTCTTCGTACTGGAACTTCCCATGTACACTGCCAGAGGGGGCTGGTTGGGAGACGGCGTCGTCGTTTCCCTGTAATTTTGTTGATCCTGATAATGGACCCTCTGTCGCTGTCTACCCCTGACTTTACTTTTACTTTGTTTCGGCGTATCCGACGGATGCTGGCGATGAAACTGATCCCTGAAAGGAAGAGCTTGCGCTTGAACGTCTTGGTTCTCAGTACGTTCCGGCCCGGCCAATCTCGCCTCGTTTTCCCGTTGTTTTTCACGCTCCCTCAGGAACTCCAGTTCCTTCTGTTTCTCCAGAGCAGCCAGCCTCTCGATCTCCCTCTGCCCTGCTGCTTCCTCCGCCCGACGTTTCTCCTCTTTCGCACGGATCTCCGCTAATCTTCGCCTTTCCAGTTCTTCCACTCGTTGCTTCTCCCTGGCCTCCCGTATCCTCTCAAGTTCCCGTTGCTTCGCCAATTCCTCCAACTTCTCCAACTCTTTTTTCTTCTTCTCAATCTCGCGCTGCCTCTGCAGCTCTTGCTCCCTTTGCAACGCTTCTTGCTGGAGGCGTGCTTTCCTTTCCAATGACTTTTGCTCCTCGTTCAACCGGACGATTTCCTTCATTCGCTCCTCTTTGAGGAACTGAGCCTTCTCCTCGCGTTCCAGCTGAATTTGCTGCAGTATCTGACGGGCAAGGGCATCCTGATCGTCGATACCTCGGCTGTCGTGGTGTTGCTGCGGTTGTTGAGGTTGCTGCTGCTGCTGCTGACGGAGGGGATACTGCTTTCTTCCGCGGCCTCTTTTCGGTTGACCTCGTTGCGCCAAGGTCTCCGCCGGCACGTAAACTAATTGGACCTACGTGGAAGAAATATTGGGAAAAAGAGTTAAGGATATTTAAAGCTTGAACGAGGAAAGACTTGGAAAATAGAGTATATATGTATATATATATATATATATATATATATATATATATATATATATAAGTATAATATACTATATATTAATAAGTATAATATGTAGTACAATAAGTAAAATAAATTATATATTATACAATATATAATATATAGTAAAATAAGTATAATATGTTATGTATTATATATATACTACATATATACTATTATATATTAACTAAATACTAACATATAATACTATAAATAATATAAATAATATAAAACTAAAATTTTATAGCATTTTACTATTACATTTTTTTATATATTTTATATATAATAAAATAATGTTTTACATATTTTATACATTTTATATATTATTATATTATTACACGAGAAAATTTAAATTTAATATTATCATAACAACATACACGTATGTATATTTTAGTCAAATCAGAAATGAAATTGTAAATGATTATATAGTCCACGCGAAATAGCAACATTATAAAAATTCGGGACATTATAAAAATTCACGAAGGTGGGATGTATTCGAAAGTGAAAACCAACACTGACCTCCTCCTCTTCGTTTTGTCCACTTTCACCTTGAGGCACCAAAGGAGCCTGACCTGGTTCCTTTATCTGCTTCGCGCCTTGCCTTTGATTCTCTTCGATCTGCCCGACGTTCCCAACGTTCTGCTCTCCCGGTTGCAACAGCTGGCCGTTCTTGAAATCCTGGCCGGATAAGCTGACGAACGAAACCTCCTGAGGTAGGCTCGCGTCCTGTTTCGTCGGCGGATGATGCCTGGACCGTTGGCCGAGGAAGTTCTGCGCCGGGAAAACCGGCGGCAACGCTTCCGAAGCGGGGAGAGGCGGCACCAGATCCTCCGACGAAACATCGGCCATCTGCGAGCCTCCTAATCCGACATCGTGCAGTTGTTTGTCCTCGTCTGCGTTGCTAAATCCGCTGGGCAGGAACGTCTGCGACTGGGGAAATAAAGACCTCTGTAAGTTTTAAAAGGAGTTCGTTTCAATTAGCGAGGATTCTTCGCAAACGGCAGACATATTAAATAGTGGGCGGGGCATACAGTACAGATATCTGAATTTTAAACTCGAGAGATTAATTTAAGTAACTTCCGTTCGGTTTGCTCGAAATTTGAAAGTAGAATCAACAGAGATTGAACTTGAAAGAGGAATGAAATTGAAGGCACTCAGGTTCATATGAAATTTGATCTTCTGACGTTTCCTCATTTTTTTTCTTTTTTTTTTTTTTTTTTTTTTTGATCTACTTGAAATAAATCTAAAAAGATTACATAACCTTACATTCAATACAGAAAACAAAAAAGGAAAGTTATTACCTGAAGAAGCTGCTGCTGCGCTCTAAGCTGCTGTTGTAACAACAACAACTTCTGTATATTTTCCTGGGTCTTTTGCAGCTGCAGCAATTGCTCTTGGTATTGTTGCTGTAGGGCCGGTGGTAAAGAGAGTTGCGGAAGTTGAGGCAGTTGCGCGTTTCCGGCTGCCAGGAGGCCCGCAGCCGGGTTATTTTGCTCGACTTGGGCTTGCGACGCCCTCGGATTCGCCAACGGTATCCACTCGCTGTTCGATACCTGTCGCGACCATCTCTCAGCTTCTGCCGCGTCGAATTTCACTGACAGTATCAAACAGATTGCTACTGTTAATGTCAGACACCTCCGCACGATCTGCAAAATTACAAAACACCGTGTAAATACGGATTTGTCAACCGCACACCCGGAAGCTCTCGCGTGTTCTGCGAATTTTCGAGGAGTGTTTAAAAGTACACACACGAAATGTGACGAAATATTAAATAGAGCGTTTATTAATTAGATAAAATAGTAAATAGTGGTAATAAATAACAAATAATAGTAATAATAGCAATTAATAATAAATAAATAGAGCTTTGTGTAATAATTGTAGACAAGTAGGAAATAAATAAAGTTTTATATAACAATTAGAGATAATTAGAGAATAAATAGAGAATTAATAATATATATATATATAATTATACTAATTACTATTAAATTATACTATTATATATTATATATATAATAATTATATAATAATTAACGAATATAACATTATAATATTAATATAATTTACATAATTAATTAACAGTATATTATTAATAATTAATATATTATATATTAATAATTAATATTAACTATTATATTGTTATTATATATAATAATTAATTATTAATGTAATATTAATATAATTTATTTAATAATTCTCTACGAATATAATATCTTTTTGAATTATAGTCCTTATCTGGACCTTGCTTAAATCAGATTATATACAATATTTTATGTAAAAATATGTTGTGACTTTTCTATTCTACACTTTCACTCAAAGTAGTCAAAAATCAATATCGAGCTCGTCCTTAGTTATGTTTAAAAAACTAGCTTTACGAAAGCTAATTCGTTAATTTGCACACCTTATTATTTGTTTTCATCGCTGTTTTTTTTTTTTTTTTAATGGCATCTAGCAATCGTAATAAACATAGTGACTGATCGTGAGGTGGAACGACGGAAACGATGATTTTCTGGTTGGTCGGTAGAAAGGTGGAAAAAATGCAACCGCAAGTCGTAGATTCCTGGGAACGTAAGAAACGTTAGGAATTGTTTCGAACCATGACGAATGATTCAATTGGCGTAGCTATTAACGTAACCGCAGGAAGAGATAAAGAGGAACGAATAAAAGGAGAGAAAATACTTTCGCGGTGTTAATGGAATTTATATTAAAACTGTCGGCTGCAGTGGTTTCCCGTTTGGAAGAGAGATCTTCCTGCTCGTTAATAAAAAAATTGATAAAATGTATAAATAAACCTTGGAGATCGGTTACGTTTGACGCGCGTTCGAGAGCTTGCAAATTGATTGAAACGAAAATGAAAAGTAAAAGAAAGTAAGGCAAAAATTAAATCGAGAAACAATCATTCACTTCGGTGTCCCTTTCTAATACTAACTTTCATTTCAATTCACAAATTTTTCGCAAGAAAACTATTTTTTTAAGATCCTTGAGAGGAATAGTTACCTGAGAGAGTGTAGAAATTTGATTTTGCAAATTTTAATGGCCGTCAGCCAGCTATAACGAGAAATTTAATTGGACACGTGATGGTAAAAAATTGTCGATACTTTAAACTGTTGTAACTTCGTAAATAAAAACCTATTTGATCTCGCCTTAAAGCACTTGCTCGCCTTAAGCTTTCACTTCAACCTAAGTTTGTTTTTTTCCTTTCAGAGACATTCTTACACCGTGTCGCAATACAAAATCATTTGTTAAAGCAACGATAGATGATTACACGACGATAGATAATAATACGTATGCTTATGTACATACAGATTGAAAAAGAGAATCGATTTCCAATTTCGGCAACTGCAAGCAGTTCGCGTACCTCCGTTCGTCGCGTACGGTTCCTGAATACGAGATTATCTTACCGTGATCGCCTTCCGATGCCTGGCAGACAGTATTTTACGCGGTCGACATTTTCGTATCGCAGAATAACGAAACGCAAACGTTTACGTAACGTTTTGTTTCTTTTTTTTTTTTTCTTATTTTTTACGTATTTTTACTTATTTCGATTTCGATCTCGCTTGGATTTCTAGAACTCTCGTGTGATTTCTATGACAAATGTTATTGCATCTAAAAAATATTATCATGTGACAACATTGCACGTGATATCGGTAATATTTACAAATATTAATCAATTATTTTTGGCTAATTTGCGATTTAGAAATATTAATAAATGGCAAATCAGTCAAAAATCATTTTTAATTCTTTCGCGCGCTAATTATATATATTTATAAATATTAATAAATTGTAGATTAGTAAAAAAATCATTTTATGACTTACTTCGTGCACTAATAATATAATTCTAAATATTAAAATTAAATCTAAATATTAAATCGCAAATTAGTAAAAAATCATTTTTACTTCCTTTGCATGCTAATTATATATATTTCTAAATATCAATAAATCGCAAATTAATCAGAAATTATTTTTACTTCCTTCGCGCGCTAATTATATATATTTCCAAATATTAATAAATCGCAAATTAGTAAAAAATTATTTTTACTTCCTTCACGCGCTAATTATATATATTTATAAATATTAATAAATCGCAAATGAGTAAAAAATCATTTTTACTTTCTTCACGCGCTAATTATATATATTTCTAAATATTAATAAATCGCAAATTAGTAAAAAATTATTTTTACTCCCTTCACGCGCTAATTATATATATTTCTAAATATTAATAAATCGCAAATTAGTCAAAAATCATTTTTACTCCCTTCACGCGATAATTATATATATTTCTAAATATTAATAAATCGCAAATTAGTCAAAAATCATTTTTACTTTCTTCACGCGCTAATTATATATATTTCTAAATATTAATAAATCGCAAATTAGTAAAAAATTATTTTTGCTTCCTTCATGCGCTAATTATGTAATTTTAAATATCGATAAATCACAAATTAGTCAAAAATCATTTTTAGTCCCTTGATAAATCACAAATTAGTCAAAAATCATTTTTAGTCCCTTCACGCGCTAATTATATATTTCTAAATATTAATAAATCGAAAATTCATCAAAAATTATTTTTACTTCCTTCGTATGCTAATTATATATATTTCTAAATATCAATAAATCGAAAATTCATCAAAAATTATTTTTACTTCCTTCGCGCACGTACATGAGACCGAGAAGAGGAAATATATAAGTAACTGATTATCTTCAATGCGAATGAGTTTGCTGAATGAGAACGTGAACTATCGGAGATGAAATTTTCAATTTAATCCACTCATTCACAAGTAAAAGAGGCAATTAATCGTCCTTGTAAACGCGAGCGATTCGTGCCTTGGTAAAAAAACCCTCGCAGAAATTCCAACGAAAAAAAAAAAGAAAAAAAAAGAAGAAGAAAGAAATTATCATCGTCATCATCGTTATTACCATCCCGGCATCGCATGTCGGGATATCTGGAGTGCAACCGTAGCTAACGAACTATGAACATTCTCAAAATGGATGATTTCTAATAAATACCAACCTACGCCGCCCGAGAGAGATTGCACGACGGATCTTTCACTTCGGAGTTTTCGAAACAGATTTCCCCATTCGTCCTTTCGATTTGCAATTTAATTAACACTTACTCTGTTTCTTTTTTTTTTTCTTTCTTTCTTTCTTTGATCGCAGCGGCGTTTCGATTTTACTACCTTTCTATTTCAAACGACTGGCAAAATTGGAAACTCTCCTCTATCTGACAAAAATTTGAAATTCGAGACACGAAATGTAACTTCAAACGTAATTTTATGACATTAGAAGCCTTTTGTTTTTTAGTTACAGCTCTTTCTTCTTTTTTTTTTTTCAGAATCGGCACCAGCTGAAACATCGAACAACAAGGTTTCATTTCGTTTAAATGATCGCTGCCAAGTCAATTTTCACGGAAAATAATTCGATCGATTCGCTATTATTTCAGTACGAAGGTTCGATATTGCTTCCGTTTTATTTTATTTATTTCATAACACTTATATGCAACAATGTCATACTCTCGTTTTAATCTTAATTTTCATTGCAATTACAATATCTATCCACTTAAGGGACATATCGTATCGATCATCGGTGATCGAAAAGTCGAGGCTGAAGAAGAAATTGGAAATTGGCACGTGACAATAGAAAACCAAAACCAACGTTCAAGCGTCGCTGTACTACCTACTGTACAATCTTCTGTGCAATTGCGTTATTATTGCCAAGGAAAGATAATAAGTTGTCTAATGGAAGAACGGTTTGATGAGGCAATGTCTTATTTAGTCTACTCTATAATCGTAGAAAGTTTCAAGTTCTACTTTGCTTAACAATGCTACGATATTGCGGTGAACGCCGTCGTCGTTGCGATTATTCATAAAATGGGAAATCGTTCTTCGTTATTGTCCCGAGCGTTTAACGATAGCGAATAATCCCATCTGTTCATGGGATTTTTCATTTCTGACGTTAACGAAACCAAATAGGGGTTTACCAACTTACGTTGTGGCGGAGAGAGAGCTATCGATTTTCTCATTTAATCCTTCGAATTCGATACAAAAGCTTGCGATACAGAAATTTGGAAATTCGTTTTACAAGTTGAAGAAGTTGTAAAAAATTATTAAAGAGCTATTAAAAAAATGTCACGAATGAATCAGTTAAACTAGTAAATAGTCATTAAAAATTATAAAGAATAAATTATATTATGATGATAATAATAAATATATGAATAAAAAAACATTGAAACAAAATTCAATGTTTCTAATTAATTAATTAATTAATTTATATATCACTGTACATTAAATGTAAATGCAACAACATTGAAAACAAATCGTGTTCATAGGGTTAAAACTGAGGAATTCTGAAGCCCTTGGGTTACGTTTAAATATCAACACCATAAATGAAAAGAAGATATACATTAAAGGTAAAGAAAAACAGGAGAAGAAGAAAAGAAGCATAGCAAAATAATTCAATTCAAGCGTAAAGGGAATGCGTTAATGAATCATGGTTCTATTCGCAAAATCAAGATCGGCAGTCGATGGATCCGCGATAATCAGCCGAGTCGCCGACTATTTTCCGTTGAAGGAACCTTGTCGAAACGATGCCACGATCGTACTACTGACATCATTCTGATTACATTACGCCGTACATGCGATTTTTCATGGCG